CCCCCCCCCCCCCCCCCCCCTCAGCCTCCGCCCAGCCTCTCTCCCCCTTGTCTTTTTACAGCAGCGTCTGTCCACACCCCCGCCCTTGCCCAAGGGTAAATTTTAAGTTTTCACAATTTTTGCACATCTACATTTATTGCTAAATGTCACAGATGCGACTCCCCCTCTTCCGGAACTGTGTTTGGGATCTCGCGTGCTCGGTTTCTGCTTGTTGTTGGTAAAGACTGTTTGGCGAGCCTGCCCGGGCCCAGTGTGCGGGGCGGCCCTGGGCAGGGTGGGGTGTGCGTGTCCATCTCCTCTGTTGAATGTCTTCCATATTATGTGTTTCCATAGCTATGATCCGTCCCTTGGCCTTAATTTTGGAATCTGGAGATTATATGCAAACATGTGTAAAGGCTTATGAATATGGATGACACTGGAATTTTATAAATTCTAAAATAAAACCCAAAACCAGACCAAGTGTGCTACAACTCATTTTGTCACACGGCCTGTCAGTTCTTGGTCCTGTGGAACCAAGGTGTCTTCAGCGTGCTTCTGAGTGACACCTAGGGACTCACAGATAGTTCTAGTCTCCAGTGCGAGTCTCCTGCTGACATACGGGAGACGGAGTGGTGCAGAGAGCCAGGGGGGCGCGAGGGAAGCGGGCGGTGGGCCCTGAGCCTTGGGGACAGGGGCCAACATCTCTGGTGTGGGGCCGCCTGCCCTGCGGGCTGGGAGGGAGACGGCAGGGAGCAGCTCCAGGCGTGGGCAGGCCTCGGGGGGACCTGACCGGGACCTGGGGGGTAGGGCTCGTGAACAGGGGTTCAGGATCACCGAGGGCACAGAAGCTCTGGGCCAAGAAGGGGCAGAAGGTGGGCGTGGCCCAAGGGCCGTGAGCCTCTGACCTCTCCGGGGCAGCAGAGTCTCTCACCTCCAGGTGGGACTGCTGGCCTGCGGTGACCCCCGTGACTTAGAGGAAGGGACCGGTGAGGCCTGGCTGACTCCTGGCAGTGTAGGCTGTGGGTCCAAACTCCTCTCTGAGCCCAGGGAGTAGCCGTCCTTTGCTCCGTTTGTCCCAGAGAGAGCCTGTCTCCAGGGAAGGGTGGGGGAGTGGGGACTGGACCCACCACCCTGCACGGGCCAAGGCCCCAGGCCGCTGGCGGAGAAGGGAAGGGGGGGCGGGGGGGCAGAAGGGCTCACCTCATTCTCAGCCAGCGCCTGCTTGGCGAGGTAGTACTCTCGCTTCACCTTGACCTCCACGGACTCAGGAATGTCGGGTACCAAGAGGTCGAGGATGCGGCCGATGGAGAACACCACGTGCTGGGGGCAGGGCACGGTACAGGCAGTGGGAGGGCGCCCACCCCTCGCTGAAACATGCTTACGGCGGCCTTAACGGGGCCAGGGCTGCACAGGGGTGCGCACACACCGGCTCCCGGGTGTGGGCGGGCTGGGGAGGAGCGGTGCAGACACGGTCGCGCCCGGAGGGGCAGCGGCCACAGCTACAGAGGCTGGCCTACGTCTCACAGGCCTCGGCAGTGCCCAGAGCAGCTCCGTACCCACGCGACCTAGAGGCGCAGGCCAGGCAGGGGCTGACACAGTTTGCAAGATGGGGAGACGACAGTGCGCAGAAGAGTGGCCTTGTGACCAGGAGGTAGCTTGGTTGTGCGCCTCCCCACCGACACACACAGACACACACACACACCCCACGTGGTGGGATCAGGCCAAACATCCTAGTGGAGGGGCGGGGAGGGGGGTCAGCGGGAACCAGGAATTTGACTAACCTCAAACACGATGACGAAGGCCAGGCGGATGGCCAGAAGGTTCCAGTATGTCGGAGAATACTCCCCATCGTCTTCCCTGAAAGCCTGATACCTGCGGGAGACACGGAGCTCGGTGTGGGGAGCTGGCGGGTGCCTGGCTTAGCTTCTCCACTTTCCTTCCCTGATCGTGTAACTCCGGGCCGGGCGCTCCGGAGAGAGCCTGAAGGAGGAAATGTTCCTAGATGGTACCAGCAGTGCCTTCGGCTTCCGTTGTTGGGCTTCCGAAGGGACAGAAGGGCTGGACTGTCCCATCCCCCGCAGCCTGGGCCCGAGTGGCTAATGCCCTGTGGTCTAGCGCATGTGAATACAATACAGCCGTGCGTCCGCCTAGTCAACACTGAAAACCCGCCATCCCGAGAGCAGCAGTCGGCTCTGCTTGGTCCCGGTCCACACAGCTCTCCCCGCCTGAATTCTGCCTGCTATTTCCGATTTGTCATCTTGTCATACTTCGACAACTTCCTGTATTTCCAATTAGATGTGACATTCCATTTTGTGACATAAACTGCCACGCTACGCACCACGGAAAGCGGTATCAGGGTCAACTTTGGAGAACAAGAAAAATTCTTGAATATTAAGCTACTGAAGGAAAAACCCTCAACGTGTGAAATAAACTACAGGTGGCCTAACTAGACACAACAGAATAAAGACTGGGAACTCGGAGATGAGATGATCGAATGACCTCGCGCTGAATGCAATGCGGAGCCAAGAGAGGACGAACCACACCCGCGCCCTGGAGCCACGAAGACGGGGCTGCTGCAACACAGCAGCAGCTCCAGAAGCTGAGAACGAATGCAAAGTAGAGCAGCTCTATTTGAGAAATGAAATGGAGAGGTTTCCAGAACTAAAGAAAGATCACCTTTTAGATCAGAAGCACAGAAGCTGAGTCTCCGTGAGACACTTAAAAATAAACTCCACCATGAAGCAGACCTATTAAGTACCCAAGTCCAGAAAAATTAGGAAAAACTTTCAATGCTTCCTGCAAGAAATGTCAGGTCACAAGAGAGTAAGTCCCAAAGAGCTAAGATAACCCTGTGGAGAATTGTATACCTGCTCTTATTGTAGGACAAAAAGGTATTTTCAGATCTAAAAGGCAACATACAAAAGGGCTTGCCAACTACACACCATTCCTGAAAGTGCTATTCATGGACGTACTTCTACAAGAATAAAAGTGAATGCAGAGGGAAGGCAACGCATAAGAAACTAGGGGCGCCCGGGTGGCTCAGTCGGTTAAGCGTCGGACTTCAGCTCAGGTCATGATCTCATGGTTCGTGGGTTTGAGCCCCGCGTCGGGCTCTGTGCTGACAGCTCAGAGCCTGGAGCTGCTTCAGATTCTGTATCTCCCTCTCTCTCTGACCCTCCCCTGCTCACGCTGTCTCTCTCTCTCTCTCTCAGAAATAAATAAAACATAAGAAAGAAAGAGAAAGAAAGAAAGAAAGAAAGAAAGAAAAGAAAGAAAGAAAGAAAGAAAGAAAGAAAGAAAGAAAGAAAGAAAGAAAGAAAGAAAGAAAGAAAGAAAGAAAGAAGAAAAGAAATTCCTGACTGAATGAGCCACCCAGGCACCCCAGAAGATTGATTTTTAAGAGGAAAGGAAAAAAGCTGTATCTGGAAAGAAAGCTCTATCTGGAAAATGAGATTATAACTACCAAAACCGTAGAGCTTAAAATCATCATAGAATATTATGGAAAAGTTTGTATCATTATATTTTTAAAAAGTAGTTGGAATAGGGACACCTGGGTGGTGCAGTTGGTTAAGTGTCAGACTTCGACTCAGGTCAGGATCTCACTGTTCATGAGTCTGAGCCCCACGACAGGCTCTGTGCTGACAGCTCAGAGCCTGGAGCGTGACTGGGATTCTGTGTCTTCCTGTCTCTCTCTGCCCCACCCCTGCCTACGCACGCATTCGCTCACTCGCTCTCAAAAACAATGGGCGTTCAAGAAAAATAATTAAAATAAGTAGTTGAAATAGAGTTTTCTGTAAATGAAATTGCCAAAACTGAGAAGAAACAGACGGGAAATAAACCTCTGCCCATAAAGGGAATGGCAATGGGAGTAACAGGCACCTCCCCAGGGGCCCAGGGTTGCCGACAAAGTCCGCGGGCGACCCAGTGTCCGCAGACGCCCCAGCCTCACCTGCACTGCGGTTGTGCCCTCCCCCCAGCCTCACCTGCACGTGCGGTTGTGCCCTCCCCGCCCCCAGCCTCACCTGCACGTGCGGTTGTGCGCGGCCGCGAAGGCGGGCGGCGCGCGCGCCAGCGTGAAGTTGACGAAGCCGCGCAGGTCGGGGGCGCGCGTCCAGCGGTAGTAGGCGCGCGGCAGGAAGTCGGACGCGAAGGCCAGCAGGAAGGCCTGGGGGCGCGGCGGCCGGTGAGCCCGGCCCGGCTGCGCGCCCCCGCCGCCCCGCCCGCCCCGCCGCGCGCTCACGTTGCTGACGACCGCCAGGTGCGCGATGCCGGCCAGGACGTGCGACCAGATGCCGATGTCCTGCGCGCGCTCGGCCACCGGGCGCCGGTGCTCGCACACGAGCTTGCGCGCGTCCAGGCGGACCTCCACCCAGTTGTTGAGCAGCGCGAAGAGCGGCGCGAGCGGGCACGCGGCCACGAAGATGGTGACGAAGCCGAACTGCAGCACTGCGGGCGGCCCGGCCCGCACCGTGTGAGCCCGGCCGCCCGCCGCGCGCCTGCAGGCCTCCCACGGCCCCGCCGCACTCCGGGGCGCTCCGGACACCTGCCGTCCCTGCCTTTGCTCCTCCCGGAGACTCGGCTTCAGAGCCCCCGCCCCCGGGAGGCCTCCCCTGACCGCTCACACAGGGCTGCAGGCATTTCTAGCTGAGCTTGCCCCCCCCCAGCCCCCCGCCCCCCAGCGCCCCAAGCTCTCTGGGGTCAGGGACTCTGGAACTCTCCTCCCCGGTGCCCAGACACCCCGGGGGCTCCTGCAGCACTGGACGCAGAAACCTTCTGATTTCAGGGCTGACTTCTCTATTCACCCCTCTCCGGAGCTTTAGGAATGGCTTTTCTTGTTTTTAGATTTTTAAGTAACCTCAACATCCAACTTGGGGCTCGAACTCACAACCCCAAGACCAAGAGTTGCGTGTCCACCATCTGAGCCAGCCAGGGCTCTCCCTCCCCCCATGGCTTCTTGAAAGGGGTCCCTGGGTCTTATGTGAAATTCCGAAGGGGGGCCTGGGGCCCGGTGAGGGGGGGCCCCACGGGGCTGGTCCGCCCCCCTGGCGGGTCCCTCCAGGAACCGCCCTGCTTCCTTCCATGCAGAGAACAGTCACCACTGCCACCCCTCGGGCTTTGGCTACGGGAGACCTTGGAGCCACGTGTGGGCACCTGCAGTGGACACAGCCCCGCCCTCCAGCCCATGGCACCGCCTGGCCAGGGCACACTTGAGGCTCCGGCAGAGTGTGGGCGTGGAGAAAACTCGAGCCCATCACCTCCCGCCCCCAGGGCCGGGTCTCCACGCACCCTCCTCTCCTCACTCCCTCATGTGCTCTGGGCCACACTTCCCGGGCTGGGGGAGATTGGCCACTCCAGAAGCACCCCACCCACTGCCCCCAGGCCCTCTTCTGGACCCCCGTGCCCAGGGCGCCGTCCTGGCCATCCTTCTTCAAGCTCTCCCCTCTCTAAACCCCACGATCTCCTTTCTGGAACCTTCACAGGCCCGGCTCGGCCAGGGACCCTCTGTCCCCACGTCCACATCATGCTTCGAGGTAGACGTACACAGTGGGACACAGGCTGGAAGCCCCTCTCAGGCAAGGCTGCTCCCCCCCCCCCCCCCCCCCGCCGTCGGCCGAGGCCGCTAACGGCTCCTACCCATTTCGAGGTACTCCTCAAACAGCCCCTCGCAGGGCAGAAGCTCATAGTCCGCCTCCCAGGGCGCTTGGCCAGCCGCCTCGGGAGCCCCCGCCTTCCTCCTCTTGGCACGCAGCCGGGACCTCTGCCACCAGCCCTGCAGCCTCCTGGAGGGACACCCGGGAAGATGGGCCACGCTTGCTCTGCGGTGGGGGCAGCAGGGGGAGGAGGGCCCGGGCCACGGGGAGGGCAGGGGTGAAGCCTTTGTGGAATAGACTGGCTGAGAGCGTCTGCATCTCCCCCCTCCCCCTCCCCTCAGCACCCTGGGGAACCGCCGAGCGGTTCTGAGAGCTGAGTCAAGGTTTGGGGGGCGGGGGGGCCGCCGCTGAGCCAGTGGGGGCACACGTGTGCGCTGCCCTGTCGTGTGGGGGCAGGTGTGCCTGTGCTTTGCCACACCGCCTCTTGTCCAGCCCCTGTCCCCGCCAGGCGCCGAGGGACACTGCCCTTGTAATCTCACATTCAGCTTCCGGGCACCAACTGCCCAGAGAGGCAAGGCCACACCCGGGGGTGTGGGGGTGTGGACTGGTCAAGGTCCCACAGCGACATTTCACGGCACCCCTGGGGCGTCGGCTAGTGGGGGAAGATCAGGTGTGCAGGGGCTGATGGCGGGGCGTCCGGGTCAGCTCCGGCCTGGGAGGGCGCCCCGTTGCCCTGAGGACGGCCACAGCGGTGCCAGTGGGGTGGCACTGGGGAAGCCGGGGCCCCAGGCGTCCCTGGCAAGGGCACCTGAAGCCTGGGGGAGGGACCTCGAGGCTGGGGCTGCTGAAGAATGGGTGGGGCAGGCGGGAGCTGACCCCAGGGCAGGCGTCCTTAGTCAGCCTCCCAGGTGGGGTGTCACTAGAGCCCGGGCCACCCACGTGGTCGGGGCACACCCTCCCCCTCCCCTGCAGATGAGGCATTGAGGTCGGGGGGGGGGGCCTGGACCTGCAGTCCCTCCACCTTTTCTTCCAGGCTGGGAAGACCCCCCCCAGGTCCCAAGGCCCTAGCTGCTGCGCGGGGCAGGGCGGGGTGGCTCACGGGACGAGGATCTCCTGCACGTTGTTGATGATCTGCTTGCCCACCATGATGACCAGGAGCTCCTGGGCCAGCTCGATGAGGCAGCCTCCGGCCGCACACTAGGCAGCAAGTCTCAGGTTAGCTCGGGGAGGGACTGGCCTCGTCTGCAGCCACCCTCCTCTGCGCCTCAGAGGCGGCCCGACCACGCCAGCCCCTCCCTTCAGACACGCCATGACACACCCAGGACTGCGGACCCTCCCTCCCTTTCCTCGACCTCGCTCACCGCCCCCTCCCCCGTCTCCCCCAGATCCAGCTGGCAGATGATGCAGAGAGATGATGGGGTGCTGCCCGGTGGCACCCCAGATTTCCTTTGGAGACTCACACAGGGTTACGGGGGGCTGACCCTAGCCGGTGGCTCCAGGGAGGACTCAAAATGCCCCATCAATTGGTGACCCAAGTCAAGTAAGAGTTGGGCCAGGGCTCTTACGGCGGCCGTGCACAGGGGTACTGAGTCTGAGGATGTCGGGCCTACTGCAGGCACCCCCCCCCAGGCAAGGACAGCCTGCCTGAGAGCACACCAGGGATGGGGAAGCAGCACAACACTGGTTAAACACCTGGATCCAGCCATACCTGAGCCCACAGGGCCCTGAGTGTTTTCAACGGAGAGCCAATGACACTCCCTTTTTGGCTTAAGCCAGTTTGAGTTGGGAACTTTTCCCATTGATAACTGAATGCACAGTCAGGCCCCAGAGTGTCAGGGTCCCAGCTGCCCTGTCCCTGAGAAGCTCCTCCCATCTCGTGAAAATGGAGGGTGTCCCTCAGAAATGGCCGCTTTGTAGTCAGCCATTGGATTACGTCACAGCTCAGACCTGGGGGAGGGAGGGAGACCCTTTTTCTCAGAAAGGAAAAGAGGGTCTTTCAGGTGATGGGCTCAGCAGGAGCATCAGACCGCCACCCGTGTCCCCTGACCCAGTGCGGGAGCTACCTGTGGACTGTCCCCGGCACACCCCTCACGCTGCCTGCACCGCGGGGCCTGGCCACACTTGGCCTCGCACTGGTGAGGAACCGATGGATTTCCTACAAGGTCCCAGAGGCTCCGGGGCGGAGTCACACCCCTGGGCTCTTAGCAGTGACCCTTCTCTCAAATACAGGCACACGCCCTTCTCCTGCCCCTCCCCCACCGCTCATGTGCTTGCAGGGGTAATGCCCACAACAAATAATTTATCTTGGGGTCTGCCTGGGGGGAACCCACACTACACGGCACCAAACCAACTGCCACTTTGAGAAACAACAAGCTCACGCCCGGCTCTCGCAGCAGCCTGCGCGCAGGGGGTTGGGGCTGGTCCTGGGGAGAAGCCGGGGCCGCCCTGGCCGCGGGCACCGAGCGAGCCCGAGGTCTCCGGCCTCTGCTCCCCACTGCTGCACGGTGGCTCAGGCCCATCACCAAGGCTGGAACCCGGCTCGGGTGCGCATCGAGCCACATGAGACAGGTGGCACGGGCAGGACGCGGGACGAGGCGTGCGTGAGGGGTGGAGGTCGTGCGGGACAGGGGGTCTGAGGCCCTGGAGACCCGGGAGGTGCCTCGCGGGGTCTCGGCCTCCATTGGTGGGTGCCGGCCTCCCCAACGCTCACTCACCTCCTCGTTGCGAACCCCAAATAAGGTGTGATAGTTGCCTGGGTATCCCACAAACCTGGAAGAGAATTGGGGTCCGGAGGCCACGAGTGAGGGGGGCTGCTGCCCTCCCGCCCGCTGGACAAGGGGGAACCGGGGACCCAGGGCCCAGTCTGCCTAGAGGCCCGAGGCCGGGACTGGCCCCGGCCCCACCCTCGGCTCCTGCGCCGACAGCCCCCTTCCCCGCGGCGTCCAGACTGTGTCACCAGGTGACCACGGGGCGGAGCGAGCGGGGCCCAGCGCGCCCTGGCTGGAGGGAGCCGTGCTGACCTGCCCTTGAAGAAGGCGATGTAGATGGGAGAGGAGTAGAAGTTGACAAACTGGAAGATGAACACCTTTAGGGTGAAGGCGTCCTCGAACTTGGTCTGCGTGCGGTGCATCTCTGCGGCACAGAGGGCCTCGCTCAGTCCCCCACGCGAGACCAGCCGGGGGGAAGGTTGCATTGCCGGATGTTTTAAGGAAACTCACTCAAGAACGGGGCAAAGCACGGCAGCCCTAAATTTCTCATTTCAAAGTCACTTGAAAACATTCTACTGGTAGAGGAAGAGCCGGGGGAAGAGGAGCTGACGGGTACAGGCGCTAAGCGCTACCGGGGGCTCAGACAGCCACACGGCTGGAGCGACAGAAGGGAGGCTGGGGGCTGGGCGGTGGGGGAGCCCGGGGCTGGGGACACGCGTGTTAACTGGAGGGGACACCTGTGGCTGGAAATGGGGACACGCGCAGCCTGTTGTTGCAGAAACTCTGGGCAACAGAGCCCTGTCCCTGCTGTCCCCGCACCTGGAGCCTCTCTGGGACACCTGCCCACGGCCGCCTCTGCACCACCCTCCCCAGGTGAGCCCTCCGTCCCCTTAGACCAGGCTGCTAACAGGTAAGCAGTTTGTGCGGGTCAGACATATGGGTTCATTAGTGTTTGTCCTTAGGAAACCGGGGGCAGGGAAAGGAGGAGAGAGGCTGGCAGGGAGGGGACGGAGAGAGGGGCAGGGGGAGCAGAGAGAGGGGCTCGGGAAAGTGGTGGGCGCTGGCTAAGTGCCCGGCCCCAGAGGGTAGCTCAGCTGGGAGGGTCTCCTCTCCCTCCACGGAGGCCCCACGGCAGGGTCCCGCGTGGCCCGTCTGTGCCTCACTCAGACACAAGGGCCCGTAGGCAGGACAGACAGCCGTGTCCTGGCCAGCAGGGCTGGGCGGGTCCCCGAGTCCGCGCCACTCACCCCATCGGGTCAGGACGTGGGCCAGGGCCACATAGATCTTGGAGAGGATGAGGATGAAGATCAGGTTCACCACCGACCCTGTGAAGCTGGCGATGCGGGAGGCCTGATGGGCGGTGGAGGGTCAGAGCGGAGCGCAGGAGGGGTGTTCCAGAGCCTTCCACGCCCCGCCCCCCCAGCAGGAGCGGGTGGTGGAGGCTCACCCAGGCTGCGAGGAGGGTGTTGTTGGACCTGGACACGACGATGGCCATGATGGCCCGGTACAGGATGATGGACACAAGGCACATGAGCACCACGGCCACCTGCAGGGCAAGGCTGGTGTGTGCACCCCCGGCAGCGGCCGGCAGCGCAGCGCCCTGTGGGGCAGGCTGTGGGCCACGCCCATCCTGCCGGGGGGGGGGGGGGGGGGGGGCCACGGCAGGGAGGAAGTCATTCCGAACAGAGGGTGGGCACCGCCGGGATGTCAAGAGGCCACTGTGCATTGCTCTCGGCCCTCGATGCTACAGCCGTCCCTCCCACCCCACCCGGCCCCTCTCCAACCAAACACAGGGTTGCTAATGTCTCAGAGGGGGACAGAGAGGGAGGTGGTCCTGTCCGGAAGCCCCTTTGGCTGGAGAGCAAGACAGGGTGTGGGGGACCCCTGTGCTGTGCTGTGCCCCCCATGCCTGAAGGAGGCCCCGGGCCTGCATCCACGGGGAAACCTTCCCAGAGCCCCCCGCCTGGCACACAGCCCCCTTACAGCCTGGACCCCCAGCTCGGCCCCAGGCATGGCCACCCCTCTGGAGCCCAGGCACACAAAGGCCTTTCTAGGGGCCCTGAGAGTCTCGTGGGTCCCAGAAGAAGCCTCGGGCTCCGGGCCTCAAAGGGAGAAAGGGTGACCAACGGTGCCGCACGCGGCTCAGGAGGAGGAGGGGAGGGCGGGGGGGGGGGCGGCTCACCATCATCAGGACCACCATGGAGCCTGCCAGCATGCGGCGCACGCGGCTCCTCTCCGGGAAGTAGGGCTCGTCCTCACCGGTGATGGGGTTCAGGGCTGTCGAGGGGGCCGAGGCGGCGAACTGGGGCCGTGGCCTCTCCTGGAGGGGAGCCGGGGTTCAGCGGCGGCCCGCACGCGTGGCGGGGGTGGGGGTGGGGAAGGGGGCGGCCCCGGTCGGGGGACCCACCTCGATGTCCTCGTAGTCGGAGCAGCCCCAGCGGTAGGCCAGCGTGGCGCTCTGGCGCTTCCAGTACTCCAGCAGCAGCACGGCCCACAGCGCCATGAACGCGCTGAAGAACACGGTGCCGCCGTGGTCGAAGAGGCGGCCGGCCTGCGGGCGCGGCGGCAGCTCGCTGGGACTGTTCCCTTTCGGACGGGCAACGCCTGTCCTGGGCCTGCCCATCGCCCTGTTTGCCCCCGTGCCCAGGCCCACGGGGGGAGGGACGTTGCCCGGCACGGCGGCGCCCGGGATTTAGAGAACGAGACGGGGCGTCCAGCCCCACGTTCACGCTGCTACGGGCTGGGACTTGGGGGCGTTGGGTTGGGGTGAGCGTATCTGGCTCACATGGGATGGATGTGAGGTTTTGGGGGCCAGAGGGTGGCTGGCAATAGGTTGACTGTGATGTCCCCCTGGAACCCCGGACTGTGACCTCGTTTGGAACCAGGCCCTTTGTGTGTATTTAGGGTGAGGACCTCACACGAGAGCGCGCAGACGGCCCCTGGGCCCAATGACAGAGCTTTAGAAATGAAGGGGACACAGGAGAGATGGGGACAGAGGTTGGCGGGACACAGCCAACACCAAAGACTCCTGTGGCCCCAAACTAGGAGGGCCACGGAACAGGGCCAGCCCTGCGGCCGCTGATCGTGGTCTCGTGGCTTCCAGAGCTGTGAGGAAACAGAGTTCTGCTGTTCTCAGCCCCTGTGTGTCCCCGGGAAGCGGATTCCGGTGGGGTCCCAGGGGTGTGTCAAAGGGGTCTGGTCTGCGGGTCCGTCCTGAGCACCAGGGCACTGGGGCCAGTGTGTGGGGCGTGCAGGCAAGGCCACAAGGCCACCTCCCGTGGAAAAGCCCACGCGCCCAGGCAGTTCGTGGGGTTGACATGTGGCCCCTCGCCCCCCCCGCCCCCGCTCAGGCTGTCAGAGGCGCAGGAGTTTCAGGGTTGGTTTGCCTTGGGGAGTCTCCCAAGTGACCTTGGCGACTTAAGCACAAAAACAATGGAGCTAAGGCCGCAAGGCTCCAGCTGGGAACACTGCCACAGCGGGTTGGGTCCCCTGGGGTTTCTGATGGGCGGGGCCCCTCCCCTCCCCTCGCCCCTCCCCTCCCCCCTCACACCTGGACCAGGGTGCAAGCGCTGGACAGCAGCCAGAAGGAACAGTCCAGGCAGAGCGGGCACATCTCAAAGTGATCAGTGCTGCTGCACAGCTCCTGCCTTTCAGGGCACAAGGAGAGGGTGCAGGAGCCCTCAGGGGCAGGCCCCCCCAGGCACACCCCTTGATCTCTGCACACGCCCCCGCCCCCCCTCCCCCGCCTATGCCAGATGAAGCATTTCTTTAAAAAGCAGCTTTAAGGGGCGCCAGGCGGCTCAGTCAGGTAAGCATCCGACTTCAGCTCAGGTCATGATCTCACTGCTCGTGGGTTCAAACCCCGTGTCGGGCTCTGTGCTGACAGCTCGGAGCCTGGAGCTGCTTCGGATTCTGTGTCTCCCTCTCTCTCTGACCCTCCCCTGCTCATGCTCTTTGTCTCTCTCAAAAATAAACAAACATTAAAAAAAAATGAAAAATAAAAAGGAGCAAAGGCAAGTACCAATACAATTAAATTAGTCCAGGAGCACACCCGTCCACTGTGTCAGCCTGGGAGCACAACCGTCCACACTCAGTATGGGGAGCACACCCGTCCACACTGTCAGTACAGGGAGCACACGCGTCCACTGTGTCAGCCTGGGAACACACCCGTCCACACTCAGTATGGGGAGCACACCCGTCCACTGTGTCAGCCTGGGAGCACACCCGTCCACTGTGTCAGCCTGGGAGCACACCCGTGCACACTCAGTATGGGGAGCACACCCGTGCACACTCAGTATGGGGAGCACACCCATCCACTGTGTCAGCCTGGGAGCTGACCTGTCTGCCTTCCAGCCAGGCCCACAGGGTCCTCTATGACCGGAGGGCATGGATGAGCTACGTGCTCACCTTCGTCCCCGCCTCTGCACGGGGCCTGGCCCTGTGGGTCCCTGAACCCCACACCCGCCTCCGGAGACGCAGGGCAAGGCTCGGGAGCTGCGCGGAGAGGACACTCACGTGGGGACGTCTGAGAACACCATGAAGCAGCCTCCCAGGAACACCAGAGTGCCCACCGCTGCCGCCGGTAGCAGCCAGCCTGTGTAGAACCCTGCAGGGCGGCACTGGGGTTGGCCATCAGGGACTGGGTGGAGGGACCCTAGGAGTTGGCTGTCAGGGCCCTGGGCGGGCCCGTGTCCCCAGCGCAGAGCTAGACGCTGGGTGGGGTCTGCACTGCCGCACTTGTCCCTGGGGGACGCACGCTCAGCCAGCAGAGTCTGAGACCTTCCAGGAGGAAGCCAGGAAGGCAGGTGCTCAGGAACCTCCCCGGCGGCTCTGAGCGGAGTCCCCCACTCCTGGCCTTGATGCTTGACTTCCCCAGGGCCCCAGCCCAGGACGTTCCCGCCTCCTGGACTCCCCTTTCCTGAGTCCCATTTGTCTCTAAGCACCAAGCCCGAAGGACGTCCCCACCGTGGGAGGCACACGGCCCAGTGCATTCCACCCTGGGAGGAATTCCATCCATTCTGGGTGCTTCCCTCCGCCTCGGCCCGCCGCACCGTGGCCAGATCCCTGTTACCCCCAATCTCGCAAGTGGACACCCCTCTGCCTCCCGTGGGTCCGCCTCCAGTCCCATCCCGTGGCCAGAGGGAGGCTGGCCCCCTGAAACCCAGACGAAGACCCCGCCCTCGTGCTGTCTGTGGCCTGCAGCCCGGCTTTGCTGTCCCACAGCCCCTGCTCCTCCGGCCCCCTCGAGGACCCTGCACACACGCTGTGCCTTGGGCCGCGTGTCTGGGCCTGGCGCACCCTTTCACAGAGGCTGCCACAGAGGCTGTGAGTGGCCTCTCCTTCTGTGTCACCCATGGCTGGTACCCTCCATGAGAACAGAGTCCCCACGACCTGCACAGCATCCCCAACGTGGCCCGCAACCTGAACAGACGTGTGCGTGTGCGACTGAATGGCTGCCCACACCTGGGGCTGGAGAGCACGTGTGCTATGTTTAGGGATGAGAAAGGGCTTCAGAAGTGTTGGGGCACAGAACAGCGGGGAAGGGGTCGTGCTCATGGGGGTGAGCCTGTGAGGGGCACATGGGGCCCCCGGGCTGCCCAGGGCAGAAGGTCACTCCAAAGGTGCCAGTCTGCCTCAGGCGGTCAGAGGGACACCAGGCAGGGGCGGGCTCTGCCGGTCGGGAGTTCCTGGAGCAGCCCCAGGGCCTCATGGGCCACATCTGGTGGGCTGGGGACACTGGGGGCTGAGTCAGGAGGGGCCCTACCTGCAAAGGGCAGTTCCTAGTTCTTCACTGAGATGTTGGGGGGCCCAGAAGAGTCACAGGTATGTTACTGGGGCTGGCAGTCGCTGGGCAGGTAAGGCTGGGAATCGGGAAGGTCTCCCCAGGAGGGGTCAGCATGGCTCTCCTCTGGGGGGGGCAGGAGCCCCAAGGGACAGTGGGGTGGGACTCACCAAGCCAGGCGAAGTAGAATGCCACCTTCTCCCCAAAGTATCTGCGTACGTGGTCCAGAGGCTGGTACTTGTTCCACTTGCGCCAGCAGGCCCAGTGCCGGAACAGGATCTGCCTCTGGGTGAGGCCCGGGGCCTGGGGGGCCTCTGGGGGAGTCCTGAACGGGCCCTGCGGGCGAGAAGCCGTCGGGTGGGGAGACCAGGCTGGCCGACCACGCGCTGTTGTAGGTGTGGGGCTCAGGAGGGCTGCCCGAGCATGGAAAGGGGCTGGGGGGGCCAGGGGGCCAAGATGCCTCTCTGAGGAAGGAACATCTACATTGAGCCCCTCAGCCAGGGCTCCTGGGGCCTGGGGCCAGGGCAGGGAAGCATCTGGAAGACGCCAGGAGGCATGTCTGGGTAGGGGCTTCTGCCAGCCCAGAGCTGTGCAGCCCCCGGCAGCCACGGGGCAAGTGCAGCCGGCTGTGCCCGTGGAAAAGCAGTGCCTCCCAGAGCAAGGGGGCGCTGGGCATCCCATCCGTTTCCTTATTTACCCCCAGGCAGCGTCTGGGGGGGAGAGACCGTCCCCGGGGTCACACAGCAGTGGGTACAGGCCTGCCCCAGGCCCGCAAGCCCCACCCCCTTTGTGCAGCTCTGAGGACTCACGCTGGGCACTGCGCAGGAGGGCCAGGTGGAAAATGGCTTCCTGCCCTACGTGGCGGACACGCAGCCGGGACCCTGGTCAGGCCAACAGGCGCCACTCACCGGCACTGCCCTAGTTTACTGACTTGGTGGGGGGCACGAGAGACCTCCCTGTCTTCCCTGAGACGAAAGCTGCCCAAGGACAGAGGGCTGCTGGGCCCGTCACATGGCAAGGAGGGTGGCATCTGGCCCCCATGTGGCCAGTGACATGGCAAGGATGCTGCTGATGCTCGGCAGGGCCGCCCATCTGACCGCAGCTGCCTAGCACGGAGGGCAGGGGGCAGAGTCCGCTGCCCCCCATGCCCGGAGGTGGACAGCGGGACCTGGGGGGTCCTCCTCAGCCAGGAACCCCCTCCTGCCCACGCCAGGGCTGCCCCCCACCCCCGCCATCAACCCCCCGGTCTCACATCGTGCAGGGGGAAGGCCGCGCTGAAGACACCCTCCGCCAACAGCTGGTCGATCCCGAACAGGCCTTTCTTCTCGTGGCCGTACGGGGTCTTGGCCAGGATCGCAAACAGCTAGGAGCGGTGGGAACCGTGCCGGTGACCCGTCACGTGACAGCAGGGCAGGACCGGCCCCGCCTGCTGACCCCAGCCGAGCCCTCTGCTGACAAGCAGTGATGAGACTTTGTGGGCCCAGCGCCTCCTCACGTGGCTCACATGTACCACTGTCCACAAGGCCCCACCCACTTCTGCCACAATCATGGGACTCGCAGGAGTCCAGCCTGGATCTGAACCCAGGACCCCTGATCCAGGCCACAGTCTGCCTCCATCCGGGTGTCTGTGGGGTCCTGGTGTCTGCCCACCACAGGCCTCCTGGGGGGGCCTTTCTCGGGGGTGCTGTAGCCATGATGTGCTCTGGCCCTCGGCCCCCTCCTCACCAGCCAGCAGGATCCACGCCCCCCCCCGCCCCTGGCCTGGGTCCCCGGCCATCTGCCCCACAAGCCACATCTGTGGCGTCCATTTGGGATCCTGGGGGCACGGAGGGGTGCTAAGCAGGGCCCCCGCTGGGCCGTGAGGTGGGGGGCAGCCCCAATCATGGGAGAGCCTCCCGTGTCCACAGAGGCCTCCTTTCCCGGCTCAGGGCCAGGAGGTCTGGGGCCCACAGCCGCGCACTCACGATCTGGTGCCGCTCGGTGCTCGCGAAGAAGGTCTCCTGGTTGTCACTCCCAAGGAACCTGGGGACGCGGGAAAAGCGCAGAACTCGGGTACCAGCGTGCACGGAGAGCACACACGGGCACGCACAGTGCACGAGGCTCACGTAGGGCACAGGCACACAAACACACAGGCACATTCGGCGGACATGGCACTCATGGGCACAGGGCACACACACAGCGCACACGCGCGTGGCCTCATCCCACACCTGGGGGGACAGCCACTATCCTGGCAGCACAATCAATTCCTGCTTTGCCTCTTTCTCTCTGAGGGGAGGAGGTCACCGCTGGGCCCCCCGACGGCCCAAGTGGGAGCACCAGGCTCACCGAGGAGCCTGTAGCCTTCCACGCACCCCTGAGGCTCTAAGCAGGGGCTGATGGCCTCGCGGGTGGTGCCTGGTGGTGGCCTGTGTGGACGGACGATAGGCCAGGGGGCCCACCCTGGGACCCCGGAATCCTGGGAACCCCCAAGGGCAGAGGCAGGAGTAAGCTGCTGGCTCCGCCCGGAAAGGAGGTGCTTTCAGCTTGGGAGGAAGACCACTTGGGAGGCTTCGGTGCCGGTCACCGACACGGGTCCCCGCTGTCCCCGGACACTCCCCTCGTCCGCAGGCCGGGGTGGCCGCGCGGCCGGCCTGTCCCGTGCGTGCGGAACGAGCAGGGACCCCGCCTGCCCACCGCGGACTGTAGCTGAGCAGGGACCGGACCTGAGCGTCCAGCCGGGTTTGGGGGACGTCTGTCTCACCTTGGCAGCTTGCTCACTTTGAACGGGCAGGAGTAATACTCAGGGGGCGCGTCAGGCACGTCCTCCAGCAGGATGTTGGGGAGGCCCAGCCACGCCAGCAGGCCTGCCGACCAGTTGGAGGCCTGGCTGGGCAACTCCTGGAAAGCATGGTCACTTGGCTCCCGCTCCCAGGCAGGGACCCCGCGTGGGCCGAGGGCACATAAAGTGGGCGGTGGGTGACGGGCTCCGGCGGAGGGAGCCCACGGGGAAGGACCGGGCCAGCCCCTGCCACCTTCCGGGCCCGGGGCCGTGTGGTCAGCGGGAGCAGCCCCCAGGCATGTCGTCCCAAGGTCACCTGGCATGAGCTGCCCCTCACCCCGTGTCCCCCAGGCTGGGGCTGGCCCTCAGTGCGTGGTTTCGGGTTGGGGGGATCCGGGCCTAGAGGAGGCCAGGTGGCCAGTTCAGAGCCCCAGCTCCTGCACACGGTCCCCACCCCCTGAGCCTGGTACCCCCACCCTCCCTGCCCAACAAGGCTTCCTAGGGCACAGTGGGGGGTGGGAGGAACCCTCAGGGGACTGAGTGGGGCCTCCAGGGTCACTGGTACCACCAGCCGTACCAGGGTGCAATCGTGAGCGACCTTCACTCGTGGAGGACGCCTGACCCGTGCACACCCTGTGTGGAGGAACCGCCTCCTCCCACGCTTGCACACCTGGTGTGGTGGACCCCTCGCCCCCGCCCCGGGCACACCCAGGCACCTGCAGGGGCAGCTTTAGACGGAGGTCCTCGGCGTAGTAGCAGAGCACGGCCCAGGGGGCCCTGAGGAGGATGTAGTGCACGGCTCCGCTCTCATCCTGGACCACGCGCTGCAGAGACCAAAGGCTCCGTGAGAGCCCGGGCACTTTGCACGTGCGTGCACTCGTGTCACTCACACTCCTGGGAAAGACAGCTGTTTCTGTAGCCATGGTAACGAGTAACCAGCTCTGGTTTTAAATCTCTTCCGTGAATGACAGCTCGCTTGTGTGGACTCGCCTCTGAGAGCTGACCAGGCAGTGACCGCCCCGTGTGGCAGCCAGCCCGGCAGCCACGGACGGATGGCACCGGCCCACGCCAGCCACACCCCCTGGGACCCGCGGGCCCAAACGTGCCCTTCCCCACAGGCTGCCTTGTCAGAGCCGGTGCCCGCCCCGCCGCGCCCTGCTCACACGAGTAGGCCAGAGGCCGCCTTTGGTTTGCAGACACTGAATGCCGGGCTCGTCCTCTGACAGGCCACTGGGCCTCTATGTTACGCATGCACATGTGCACACACGTGTGTAACTGCATGGGACTGAGTGTCACACGTGTGCGCGCGGAGACATGTGGCAGGCCCTCCCGGGGCCTGGAGTGGGGACTTGCGGCACCATGGTCCGGTGCCCCTGCTGCTTGTGGCCAGGTTTCCAGAACCTTCCCTAGTGCAGCTGCTCTCAGGGTTCCCTGAATGCCAATGGCCAGGCCCCGCCCAGGGCCCAGTGGGACAGAGAGTGCTGCCCTTCGGGCCACCGCCGGCTGTGCTGTGCACTGGGAACTGCCATCTAGACTGAAGACTTGGGGCATGTTGGTCACCGTGGTGGGGAGACTGCCCACTGTTGTCCCCTGCGGATGTCCTCCTGTGACCCACCCCCCAAAGGGGAAGCCCACCCATTCTGGGAGGAGGTTTTGCCAATCTCATGTGGCCATACCTATGAGGCATACTGTCCCCAAAGCTTTCTCCATAATAAGGGGGGACACCCTTCATCCCCACTCACTAGACTGTCAGGTGGACCCAAACTTGAAGGGGAGAGGGTGTTGATTCTGCCCCCCCACATCCCACTGTGGGTACGTTTCCAACAGCTACAGGTGCCTGGAGGTCCTCCCACAGGAATGCAGTAAGCGGGGCCCATTCACACGGGTGTTCTGGGAGCGAGGGCAGCGGCCCCGCAGCGGTGATGCGGGTGTGGCTCACAAGCACGGTGTCAGTTACACCGAGCACGAGTCCCTTCTATCAAGTCTGACCAAACAAAACCAAGCTGTACTGTTTGCAACATAAAGTTGGCATGAAAGTGATAGAAACACACGAAGATGTGATTAATGTAAAATTCAGGGGGCGCCTGGGTGGCTCAGTCGGTTAAGCATCTGACTTTGGCCCAGGTCATGATCCTGCACTCCGTGGGTTCGAGCCCCACATCGGGCTCTGTGCTGACAGCTCAGAGCCTGGAGCTGCTTCGGATTCTGTGTCTCTCTGTCTCCCCCTCCCCTGCTTGCACACTGTCTCTCTGTCTCCCAAAAATAAATATTGAAAAAAAATTCAGGACTGATTTGCTCTGGGTGGGGAGAGGGCACCTGATGGGAGAGCCCGTCCCTGGGGACAGTGGACAGTGGGGGCGAGGGGGGCGGAGGGCACACGTGCAGAGAGCCCGGCGAGGGCTCGGGGACCAGGCGACGGGAGGGCGCCCTGCTGCTGGCAGAGGTCTGAGTGTGGGGGGAGGGGCTGCTGTAGCTGCTCAGTTCTATAAACACACAGTGATCATCACAGCGGGACACTTCAGTGGAGGTGGGACAGACCCGTGGGTCTGAAGGACTCTGGCTCCCACACACCGGTGCTGGGCGGGTGCTGGGCCGGCCTGTGGTCAGGGGTCCCCACAAGCCACAGGGAGCTCGTGCAGGGGCCGGGCTCCCATCAGGAACTGGGCGCTTGCTTTGTCCCAGGGCTCTGGACCCCAGGCCCTCAGGCCTCGTCGGGAAGGTCGTGGGTCACTGAACGGATGCAGGGCCCAGAGCAGACCCCCAAGTACCTGGTCCACCTGTAGCCCGGCTGCACGGAGGTTATCCAGAAAGGTGTCCCTCCAGACGCCGCGCGTGTCTGCCTCCACCCGGCCGGCGCCGCCCTGCTGCCGACCCGGCCTCAGGTCTTCCTCCCACACGAGGACGAAGTCTGCCAGGAGCCGACAGGGACAGAGGCGGGGCTGGCATTGCGGCCAGGACACCCAGGCCCCAGGTGGGAAGTGGGAGCCGAGCTCTCGGACTCTCGCCCTGCCCCCGAGTGTCTCTCTCCCAGCCCTCACCCTGGCCCCGCTCAGGGCTGGGGGCACGGGGGCTGCGGCCTGCCCCCCAGATCCCCGTGTGGCTCCACCCCTGCAGGTAAGTCCCAAATCCCCGGGGGGCAGGGGGGCTTTAAGGTCTTGGAGTGAAAGTGGTCACGGTGTGGAAGCCCAGGCACAGAGAGCTGTAAAGGTGGGACAAAATGTGGGAACCCCCTTTCCTGGCACCAGATGGCAATGGGTGCAGGGCTAAGGCCTCTGAGATCTGAGCCAAGGGGAGCACAGGGGGGAGACCAGACTCGCTCTGGGGGTTTCACTAAGAGCTGTTTCTAACTGCGGGGCAGGACGACAGAGCCCAAGAGGCATTGCTGAGCGATAAGTGAGGTCAGAATTCGGGGCTGGGGAGGGGCCTGGGCGTGCCGTGTGGGGAGGACGGAGCTGCGGGTCCAGGAGGAAGGCCCCGGGGCTGCTGGGACACAGAGACCCCAGAGGAGGCGCCGTGCTGGAGCCCCGGCGGTGGGGGTCCCAGCTTTCCAGGCGACACTCCGGCTACTGCCCCAGGAGTGAGGACTCCACCGTAGGAGCAAGGGGTGCACCTGAGGGGCGGAGTTGACAAAATCAGCAGAAACAGACCCGGGGATGAGCCCCACGGCGGAGCTCGCAGAACAGGGCCGAGGGGAAGAAGGACGACATTGTTCAAGGAGAAGGAGTCCAGGATGGGCAACGGTTAGCGAGTGGAGTTACTTCAAGGGAGAATTCAGGTCTATGGAAAGGAATCAAGTGGACGTTCAAAAACAGCACCTGGGCACCGCAGAAGACAGCCTTGCCAGACTGCGGGACGAAAGGACAGACCGGTAGAAAACATCCAGACTGAAGCTCAGAGCAGAAAGAATGGAAAGAATGAGGGGCGCCTGAGTGGCTCAGTCGGTTAAGTGTCCGACTTTCGCTTAGGTCTTGATCTCGCGGTTCGTGGGTTCGAGCCCCGCGTCGGGCTCTGTGCTGACTGCCAGCTCAGAGCCTGGAGCCTGTTTCAGAGTCTGTGACTCCCTCTCTCTCTGACCCTCCCCTGCTCACGCTGTCTCTCTCTCTCTCTCCTAGAAATAAATAAAACATTTAAAAAAAAAAGTTAAAAAAAAAAAAAAAGAATGGAAAGAATGGAACATGGTTCCCAAAGGGTGGGGTCCCGGTCAAAAGGCCCAGCACACTGCACCCCGAGGAGCGGGAGAGCAGGAACCTTTGAAGAAAACTGGTCAAGAGTTTCCAGATCTGACTGCACTACTCACTCCAAAGTAATTCCCAAACAGGATAAAGCAACTACACTTAGGAAAATCAAGATGCAGCGTCCCTCTGCTGTAAATGAAAGACAAAGATGAGTCTTGAAAGCAGCGAGAGAAAAAAGAACACACTGGTTTTCAGGGAGACAAGAGTGATATAAACGCTTGATCTCTCAACAGAAACAACGGAAGCCAGAGAGACAATGGAATGGCATTTCTAACGTGCTGAGGCGCAGATGCCGCAAGCTGGAATTCCTCATCCAGAGGAAATGATCTTCAGAAATGAGGCTAATGAAGACACCTGCCAACAGCCCAAATCAGAGGGATTTAGTCCCAGCACACCTGCTCTGCAGGGACCACTGCAGGGAATTCTTCAGGCTGCCGAAGCTCGTCTCAGACGGAAGTGCAGATGTGCAAGAAGGGAACACAGGGTACGAACGTAGGAAAGTATGAGGCGAAACTATCTCTATTTATAGATGACACGATCTCACACATAGGAAACCCAAAATCCCAAATTATTGGGCCTAATAACAGGTTTGGCAAAGTTTCAGGGTATAAGATCAGCATATGGAAATCAACTGTTTGAGTACACTAGCGAAAAACAAGCTAAAACTGAGATGGGGAAACCAAACATAAAATACTTAGAAACAGATTTAACAGAAGATGTGCAAGACTTAGACACTGAAAGCCACCAAATATGGTTGAAACAAACTGAAGAGCAAAAAACGCAAAATCATTCCATGTGCATGAATCAGAAGTTTTATATTATAATGATGGCATCTCTCCCAAAATTAATCTACAGATTCAATGCAACCCTTATCAAAATCCCAATTGGCTTATTATTATTTTAAGTGTTTATTAATGCTTTAAGAGGGATGGAGAGACAGAGCTTGAATGGGGGAGGGGCAGAGTGAGAAGACGACACAGCAGCTCCAGACTCTGAGCTGTCAGCCTAGAGCCGGACGCGGGGCTTGAACTCACAAACTGGGAGATCGTGACCTGAACCTAAGTCGGACGCTCAACTGACTGAGCCCCCCCAGGCGCCCCTGGCTTATTATTATTATTTGCAGAAATTGACAAGATTAAAATTCATTTGGAAATACAGGAGGCCCAGAATGAACAAAACAATGTTGAAGAAGAACAAAGCTGTCGAGCTCACACTTTTTGACCTCAAAATTATCTATGCAGTTAGAATAGCCAAGACGGTGTGGTACCAGTATAAGGATAGACATATATATCAATGGAATATATTTGAGATTCTGAAACCCACATATTTATGGTCAATCCGTTTTTTTACAAAGGAGACACTACAGTTCAATAGGAAATAAGTACTGTTTTCCGCAAGTGGTGCTGGGACACGGGGATAACCAGAGAGAAAAGGGTGCTTTGGACCCTACCTCACACCACACACAGCATTAACTAGGGTGGACTTGTGATCAGGAGATAGAGACGGTGACCTAAAGCATCCACACCAAAGTGGGAAAGCCCAGGTGAGCAAACAGTGGTACAGCCTCATGTCCTGGTTTAGGCAATGACGTCCTAGATAACGACCCCCAAAACAGAGCAGTCAGAGAGAAGTCTGATCAATTGCACTCATCAAAATTAACAACACTTATGTTCCAAAAGGATCACCAAGAAAGTGAAAAACACCCCACAGAATGGGAGGAAATATTAGAAATCATGTATCTAGTAAGGGAGAAAATTTCAATTCAACATTAAGAAGACAAATAGCCCAATTTAAAAATGGGCAAAGAGGGGCGCCTGGGTGGCTTAGTCGGTTGAGCGTCCGACTTTCGCTCAGGTCATGATCTCACGGTTCGTGGGTTCGAGCCCCGCGTCGGGGTCTGTGCTGACTGCCAGCTCAGAGCCTGGAGCCTGTTTCAGTCTGTGACTCCCTCTCTCTCTGACCCTCCCCTGCTCACGCTGTCTCTCTGTCTCTCTCTCCTAGAAATAAAACAAACATTTAAAAAAAATAAAAATGGGCAAAGATTTTGAACAGACATTTGTCTAAAGAAGATATATAAATGGCCAATAAGCCCATGAAAAGATGCTCAACCTCACCTGCCCTTGGGGAGTTTCCAGTCAAAACAATGAGATAGATGCTATTCTGTCCTCACCAGGGTGGCCGGCATACGGATAAACGTTGGCAAGCTGGGACTGATGTCAGCAGTTGCTGGTGGCTTGTAAGGTGGTAGTTACTTTGGAAAACAGTTTGGTGGTTTCTCAAAAACCTTCAACTTTGAAGGCTGCCTGGGTGGCTCAGTCAGTTAAGTGCCTGACATCGGGTCAGGTCATGATCTCGCATTTCGAGGGTTCGAGCGCCGCGTCGGGCTCTGTGCTGACAGCTCGGAGCCTGGAGCTGCTTCCGATTCTGTGTCTCCCTCTCTCTCTGCCCCTCCCCCACTCGTGTGCACGTGTGCTCTCTCTCAAATATATAAATAAACATTAAAAAGTTAAAAAATGTTCAGCGTTGAGCTACTCTCTGACCTTGTGATTCCACAATTCCACTCAAAGGTATGTGACCAAGGAAATCAGACACGTCCACAGGAAGGAAATCTTGTGCACTTGCTACATTCCTCTCAACAGCCGCAGAATGGAAACAACCAAAATATCTGTCACCAGTTCTTTCAGGGATATACTTACAGGTAAGATTGCATACAGGATCGTACGGTTATTTCTTTTCTTTTCCTTTCAATTTTTTTTAAAAGTTTATTTATTTATTTTGAGAGAGAGAGAGAGAGGAGAGAGAGCGAGGGGGTAGAAAGAGCGGGGGAGAGAATCCCAAGCAGGCGCCGAGCTGTCAGAACAGAGTCCGACGCGGGGCTCGAACCCACCAACTGTGAGATCATGACCTGAGCTGAACTGAGTCGGACGCTCAGCCCACTGAGCGGCCCCAGTGCGTGGTATCTCTCTCTTTAAGTTTCAGGAACCTCCACACTGTTTCCTACGGCAGCTGTACACTCCCCTTCCCTCCACCAGTGCACAGCGTTCCGATTTCCTCACGTCCTCGCCAACACTGGTTATTTTCTGTTTTATTTTGATATTTGTAATAGTAGCTGTCCTGGTGGGTGTGAGGTTAGGGTGTCTACCTTCCCGGGCTGCGGGGAAAGCTGGGGTGGCCACGGGCGGCAGCTGGGAGCCCAGGCAGGCGGCCGGGTGGGCGCTCTGGGCGCAGGGCAGACGGTACCTGGGGTGGCAGGGGTCAGTGGAGCTGATGGATCTCAAGGCCAGAGAAGGTGTGGGGTACAAGACACAGTCTGAGCGTCCTGAGGCCAGAGCAGGAGGGAGGCGGGCCGCCCCTGGGCCCTCCAGAGCCTCTCCAGCCCCAGCCCCCTTCAGGGGGCCTCACCCCCACCTTCGTGCCGTCTCCTGGCTGTGCTCTGCTCACCACGAGGCCCTCCCCAGGTCCCTGGCACAGTAGCGGGCACCGAGCCGGCTCAGGAGATAGTGCCCGGGGGGGGAGGGGCGACCCGGTTGCTGGGGACGGTGGCCCGCTGCCCCCTGTAGGCGTCCCTTCTGCGTCCCCACCCCCGGGACCGACATGGGCACAGCTGGCAGACACGGGGAGGGACTCACCTATTTGGGGCTTGGAAGGGCTCCCCACCCTGCCGGAGGCTTCCCGGCATCCGCTCGGCTGGAAGGGAAGGAAGAGGAAGGGCAGCACCTGACGACGGCTCCACACTCTGCCCAGGACACAGGACAGCAGAGACACAGCCACCGCGTGTGGGCAGGGGGCTCACGGCCCGGGGAGGCCGGCCCCTTGCCCCTCCAGCCCCCTGCAGGCCGCGTGGGCTCCAAGCACCCGCCTGGGTGTGGGCAACGGTCAGGCTTGTAGGTGACCGGGGCCCGACCCAGGGGTGCTGGTGATGGAGGGCCTCCAGGGGCTGGGAGTCAGAGAGTGGAATCAGCGTGGGTTTCTAGAAGTTCCTGGAGACAGAGCCCTTGGTAAGAGGCACATACACTCACTAACCCCAGAGACACCCCGTCCCCAACCCCAGTCATCAACCTCGACTAACCCTAACTGTAACCCTAACCGTAGCCTGGGGCCCAGCAGAACCCCACCTTCACGCACTCTGAAACTGCACTAACGATACCCGAATTCTAACGCGAGTCTGCCCTCCGGATGCTGTGGCTCCTCCGGGGTCACCTCTGAGTTCTGAGCCTCACCACCTGCAGACACACCGCCACGTGTGCCCACGAGCCCCCCCCCCCCCGCGCCCACCGGAGCGAGCACCCGTAACCTCTGAGGTGCTGAATCTACGTTTTTAGGTGACAAAACGCCGTGGAGGCAGCCGCCGTCCTCACCCCTGCTGTGGGGCAGGGGCCGTGGGGAGAGAGCCGGCTTCGGGCCGCCCCCCCAACTTGGTGCACGTCCGAGCAGCCGGGGGCGCGCTCCACGGCGTCTTCAGTGGCATCTCCGCGGACGCCCCACACTTCCCTCTCGCCGTCCTTCCTGCGGCCGGGGCCCGTCCTGCCCGGCCCAGCCCGTTCCCCGGGTCGTCTGCGTGTCCCCGAGGGGACCTGACTGGAGCCCTGGGGCAGCTGGAGGGCGCGGGAGGTCCTGGGGCGGGGGCGGGGGCTGCGGGCGTCGCGTCTGCCCACAGGCTCGGGGCCCCGGCTGCGGCCACTGTCTTCAGGGTCCTTGAGTCCAGCCGGGGGCTGGGGGCTCAGGCCCAGGTAGGGAGGGACCTCCTAATCCACAGCGGCCGGCGGGCCTGGGTCACAGGGAGGGGAGGCGGGGGGCTCCTGAGCCTTACCTCTGAGGTGGGGGCTGTGCTCCCGTACGTGTGGCCCTCCTCGGCCCCGGGGGCCACGTGGATCAGGAGGGTGCTGTCCCCCTCCGGGGCCTGCTTCCGTAGCCTCCCGCTCCTGCACCTCACAGCACCGGGCGGGGACGGGGGCGGGGCGGCCGCGTGAGACCCGGTCCCCGCACCGCCGCGCGCCCCACGTGGACCCGCTTCACAGGCGAGGGCACAGGCTGCCAGGCTGCTCCGTCACCCCTGGGAGCACAGGAAGGCCCCCCAGGGGCAGGCCGGGGGAAGGAGGGCGGGGCAGAGGCCTGGCCCGGCAGCTGTCTGTCCGTCCACCTGTCCCGCACGCACTTCCCTCCCTCCCAGCTCTGCCTGGGGGGCAGGGGCCGGGGAGGCCCGTGGGTGGGCTCAGCTCTGGCCCCAGCAGGAGTGCGGGGTGACCTTTAATAGACACGAGGCCTCGGCTCCTCCTGGGGGGGCGTCTGGACCCGTCGGGGAGGCTGGCCTGGCCATGCTGCCCCTGCGTGCCCCCCATCCGGCCCCGGGACCCCTCTGTGGGGAGGACAGACCCCACTGTCCCAGTTGACAGGCGGGCAAAGAGCCAGAGGAACCGTGTGGCCCAGAAGGGGCGGTTGGAGCGGAGCCAGCCGTCGGCCCCGGCACGACCGACGAGGCCCACGGAGGCTGGGAGGGCTGAGGGCCGAGGGGCCGCAGGGGGCGGGCAGGGAGGGCTCATCTAGGCCAGACAGCCTGAGGTCCAGAGAGACAGAGGTGTGAGTCCGGAGCATTTCAGGTGCCAGACACCCCGAGCCAGGGCGTGGCATGGCGTGGTGACCGGGGCCACGGGGCACTCGTAGGGGGAAGGCCTCAGGAGTTTTACATCAGCCAGCAGCCTTCCCCTGAGCTGAGCAAGCTGTGCCGAGGACGGGGACCGGGGATGAGGCCACAGCAGTGCCCTGCGCCGTGGTGGCTCCACCGCATGTCAGGAAGCGTGAGGTGCCCTCCGACGGGAGGTGCCGCGCCCAGAGCCTCACTCCCTGAGCGCTTGGCCCTTCTCACCCCCCAGGGCCCGGCAGGCCTTGGGGCCTCAACCCACAGCCCGGGGCGTCTGGAGCCCTGACAGCCTGGGGGTGCTCACCCCCCTCCCCAGAGTCCCTCTCCCCTCCCTCCTTCCTGTGGCCCTTGCATCTTGGATTAGGATCCCACCTGGTGCGGCGGCTTCCGGAAGAGGCCTCCGAGGTCATGGCCAACTTTCCAGCATAAGCCTGGTCTGGGCAGCTGAGTCCGGGCCAGACCTGCAGGCAGAGAACTGGGAGGGACCCTGCCCGGTGTGGGGGTGGGGGATGGCCACTCACAGGTCCTCCCCTCGCCTGCAGAATGGGCCCGGAAGCAGAGTGACGGGGGCAAGGTCCCCCCAGCTCCTGAAATGGGATCTGCCTTTGTTTGGAAAGGGGGTGTGGGGCTCCGAGTCTGCAAACAGAGGCAGCGCATTTTCCTAGAGCCTTCACACAGCGCACATGCAAATACCACCGTGCTCCCCAGCAAGGGCCACCCCTCCTCCTCTGCCCTTGTTTACTCAGGGATGTCAGGGCCCACGTCAGCTGTTGGGCTGCAGCTGCGGGGCATTAGGGAGAGGTGGCAGCCACAGATGCGGGCCACTGTCATCTCAGCCTGGCGGGGTGCCCGTGTGGGCATGGGGGCCCAGGTGGTAGAGCCACTTCCTGAGTGTGACGCAGGCTATCACATCTGCTCAGGGTCCACCTCCCTGCAGGGAGGGGGGGCCCCGGCCCTCCCGGCCCCTCTCCGCCCGGGCCTGTCCCCCAGGAGCCCACTCACCTAGGCTCAGCCCTCCCCATCAGGTGCCTGTTGAAACCCCCAAGTTGCACCCTTGTCCTGGCTGCATCTCTGACCCCCACCCCACTCCCAGGGAGACCTAGCTCAGCGGGTCAGGCTCCCGCAGGCAGGGCCTAGCCACAGTGGGGACCCCCTGAGCCTGAGCGTCAAGCTGTCCCCACACAGACCCCGAGTGTGTACTGACTGCATTGTGGGCGTCCCAGAGCCCAGGAAAGAGGTGAGGCAGGTGGAGACGGGAAGCACACGCTGGGGGGGGGGGGGTACTCAGCCTGACCCCACGGGACCTCTGTCTGGCACGGCACAGGGTTTTCTCAGCCTGACATAAGTTGACCCTGGGCTCTAGCCAGACACTGTAGACCGTTGTCCCGGGAGGGGCCGGCTGTCAGGGGCTCCCGGCTCTCTGCTCTCGGCCCCAGGGAGGGGCGCCTGAGCAGGGCAGTGGGGGCAGGTTGTGGGGGGCAGTGCAGGCCGTGGCTGCAGCCGTGGAGGCCACGTGCACGCGGGACACCTGTAAGAGCACTCACCCCACGGACAGCTTGGATTTTTACTTTATACAACGTTTCCTGGCTTGACATTTTTCCAAGTTGCGTTACTCTTGCAGTTTTTAAAAATTAAGAAGAAACAAGAAAAAATAGAAAGCAGGCTACGCGTGCAGGTGTTTTGCTGGGTCCCAGGTGCCTGGAAGAGCCCGGGGCCCAGATCTGCCACACCGGAATGTTTTGACTAGAACTTTTTATATTCGTTAGCTGAACATTTAAAAACACGTTGGTGGAAGTGGGGGGAACCTCCCACTACGGCTTCACCAAAGGCCCTCGTTGCCTCCTGAGGACGGGGAGGTAGGGCACCGGCAGGCGGGCCCAGCCCCCAGGCCTGCACCTCCCCTCGGGGCGGCCGGAGCCACCGGGCCACCCCGGCCGTGGGGCGGCCTGGACAGGGGGCAGATCTGAGCGACCGGTTTGCAGCCAAACGCGCCCCTCCCGGCGGGCAGGCTGCTGCTCCCAACAGCCACTGGGCGGCTCTTCTGTTCTCCTCAGTCACCCGCCCCGCTCACAGTCTGAGGGGTGGGCCGCGAATGGTTCGGGCTTCCTGTATCCTATGTGCTGTCCGCACACTCAACCCCTGCCCCCAGGACTCACCCCTGCCCCCAGGACCCTTCTCCCCAGGACTCACCCCTGCCTCTCGGGAGCCTCCCCAGACCCGCCTCTCCCCCAAACACTCCCTCTGCAGAGCGCGAGCACCCCCTGCCGCCGTAGGACACCACCGTGGTGTCCAGCGTGCCTGCCTCCTGCTCCGCCCCCCCTGACCTCAGGGTACCTGCCCTGCCAGGAAGGCCTCCCTGCTTCCCTCTGCCTCTGTGCGCCTCCCCTGCAGGCTGCTGGAGCCCCGCAAGAGCCTGCTCCCCAAGCCAGGCTCTTTCCCCCAAGTGCACAGGGGTGGGGGTTCCAGGATGCTCTGCCCCAGGCTTCACTCTCCCCCCCGCTCCGCTCTGCCTCCTCCTCTCTGCTGCCCCCTTGGCTTGCTTCCCCCACCCCTAGTGTGGGTCTGACCCAGTTCTGCCCCTCGGCAAGGTCACCACATCCATGCTGCCAGTGACCCTGACAAAAGGCACGTTTCTTCCAAACGTGGAGTCAGCTTCTAACTATCTGTTGTCTTCTGGTTGCTGATTGATCAGCGCCCCGCCTACTGGACGTTTACAAGGACAGGGTTTTACAAAGTCTTACAAGAAAAATAAAGGTTCGTTTTGCTCACCGCTGTATGATCCCAAGTACCTGAAAGAGGGAACGGGGTTGGACAGGGGTGGAGGTGTCCACCGCAGCCGCGCTTTCCCCCGTGGGGTTATCAATAGGGCCACCTCTGCCCGGGTGCCGGTGCTGCCCTCCCCGTCTCCCCGCCTCCCTCCCCATCTCTCTCCAAATTTGCCTCCTAGGCCGCGTCTTTGCTTCGGGTTGTTTTGGACCGTGAGCAGGCTTCCCGGCTGCTGCTCGTTCCTGGCTCTTCCCACGTTCCCTCCACATCTGAGAGCCCTCCTGTCCGCGTGCACCCCCGCACGCCCTCCTTCAAGGACACATGGTTTCCGGGCAGCGGCCTCCTCGGGTTCTTCAGCTGAAGAACATTTACTGCAGCCAAAGACCCAGCTTGGGTGCGCTTTTGAGGCTCAGGGTGCCCCTGGGGTCTCTCTGCCTGAGCTAATTTTGGGTAGTGCATGGCGGTGGCCTGTCCCGTGTGCGCCTCTCTGGCAATGGGCTTGGGGGCGCCGGGGGTGGCCGCCGGGCACGCTGCCTTCCCTGGATTGCCTGCTGTCGCCTTTGGCGGGTTTCCAGCGGGCTCTGGGACTAGGCCTCTGCCAGCCGTGAGCGCTGGGAGCAGGTCTCTTCAGCTGCTGTCTGGTCTACCGGTGGTGTTCCGTGCTCTACAGGGATTTTAGTTTTGCATAGACGAACCCATCAGAACCGTGTCTTGAGGCTGCGCTCTGGCCGTCAAGCGCTCTCCCCCATGCGGCTCAGGAGGTGTTCCCGCCCTTCCTCCCGCCGCCCGTCTCCCCGTTCACTCTGAGGTTTCTGACCCGGCCGTGCAGGGGTGGCGTCCTGCACACAGTGCTGCTGCCCAGCGCCGTCCACGGCCAGGACTCCCCAACCTGGGCTGCAGCTTCCGGGATCTGGTAGGAAACTGCCTCCTGCGACTCTTTTAAAAAATATATATTTTTAAATGTTTTATTTATTTCTGAGAGAGAGAGAGAGAGAGAGAGAGGAGAGAGAGACAGAGACAGCATGAACAGGGGAGGGTCAGAGAGAGAGGGAGTCACAGACTGAAGCAGCTCCAGGCTCTGAGCTGCCAGCACAGAGCCCAACGCGGGGCTCAGACCCACGAACCGTGAGATCTTGACCTGAGCTGAAGTCGGACGCTTAACCGACTGAGTCCCCAGGCGTCCCCGCCCTCGACTCTTGTCGAGTTTCACGGTTCGGTGTGGACCTTAGGTTCAATGAGCTTCTCATGCTCAAATGGCGATTCGCCTGGGACGTGCCGGCTGCGGCACACGCTCCCGCCCCGTCCACCCTGTGTTTCCCGCGTCTGTTAAAGCACAGAGGCCGGAAGTGAGTGGGGCTGGGCCGGCTCGGGGCACTGTCCCCACCTCATGCCCACCAGCACGCGCCTGCTGAGGCCTTTCTCCTTACTGCCCTGTCTGCCCGGGGCTCTCTGGGCTTCCCTGCCTACCCGCGAGGAGAAACCTGTCCTGTTCGCAGCTACTTTCAGCACCCGGCTCCCGCGCGCTGTTTATAAACGATCGCTCCTTTCCTTCCGGGTCATGGTGGACGTGTGCGTGGTCTGCCGCTACCCGCCGCGCTCTAGCTCCCGGGTGAAAACGCGGTGACCTCGTGGCTCACATCGTGCACTTTTTTGGGGCGTGTGTCACGCCCAGGCAAGACAAAGGGGTCTTCGTGAACCACGGCCCCGCTGGGTGCGGCCTGCAGCTTCGGGATGAGATCTCGGGGATGAGATCTCGGCCGTGTGGGTGGATGAGGTCTCCCAGCAGGGGGGTCAAATCCTGAGCCTTTGTGTCTCAACTGTCTTCCCTCTGTTACGTCCGGGGCCGTGCCCTCCCAACCCCTGCCCTGCAGTTTGCTGTCAGTGGGCAGGCGCTCACTGGGTCAGGCCACACAGTTCATCTTGGTGAAGGGAGTCGGGAACTAGACGTGACCTTAACCTTCAGGCCAACAACTGGCAGGTTTACGACTGTTGGTAGAAGTCACCTGGAGGGAGATCTCTGACCTGCTCCCTGGCTCTCAGAGCGGCCTGTGCAGGCTACTCCGTGCAGAGCGGGGCCTTCCAGAACTCTCCGTGCCTATGGGAACGGGTCCCCCTAGCGAGGCGGAGCTACTGAGCACCTGGAATGTGGCAAGTGCAACCGAGGGACTGACTTTTTATTTCACTTTAACAAATTTTAGTTTGAACTGAAGCAGCCACACGTGCGGTGAGTGGCCCCCACACTGGACAGGGCAGCTCTAGAACCTTGGAGAAGGGACCCTGGTGACCGTGACTCCTGCAGTGTTCTTTCTGCAGAAGGGAAATCTGAGGCCCCGGAGAGACCCTGGGTGACCGTCCACGGAAATTTTCTAAGAAACAGGCCCACACGATGGTGAAAGGCCGGGCAGCGACGTCGGCAGCTGCCAGGAGGTGGGCTCTTTGGAGAAGGTCTTGCACAGAGACTCAGGCGGGTTCGCACGGCCAGCGACCTGGGCAGCCGTGCGCTTGGGAGGCGTCTCCTCCAGCGGCCCGGCCCCTGAGAGCCGAGGTGGGGCGGCCCGTGCCGCGGTCAGCGGGGGCGCCGTCAGGGAGCCTCGATGGGCGCAGCGCGCAGGGTGGGGCCATCCTGTGCCCACGGTTCTGGTTTTTAAATACATGCAATTAGAAAGAGGCCGGCAGCAGCTGGTCTATAAGACCAAACAGCTCTGGGCAGCCAGGCGGCCGCAAGCGCCCCCACCCGGGGCACGGCCCTCACACCCCCGGCCCACCCCTCTCAGGAGGGCCGAGACCCCCGACAGGAAGGCGGAGACGGGCGTGGCGGGGACACCACGGTGGGACGACCACCAGAACGCCGCGGCGGCGGCGGCGGCAACGGCGGCCCAGAGCGGCGCGGGCGTCACACGCGGCGCTTATCACTCAGTGCCTTTTTATTGCCATTGGGTTGTGACTGCTCAGAGTGACGGCTTGAGGAGCAAGAGGCGGGCAGAACCGTGGCTGGGAAGTTCTTGTGAAGAGAGGGGCCGGGCGAGCGGCCGGCTGGCCTCAGAAGCGGACGAAGGTGGCGTCGATCTGCCGCACGGTGGGCAGGGCCAGCATGATCTTCCGCCTGTACTGCGGGTCCTTCTGCAGCGGGTTGCGCTCCAGGTACACCGTCTCCAGGCCCTTGGCCGCCTTCAGCTCGTCCAGGTCGCTCCAGCTCTCGAGGAGATTGTCGTTCATCTGGAGGACACGCACACACGCGTTAGAGCGCCTGCAGGATGGAAGGGCCCCCCCATCTGGGCACGAGGCCACTCGGGACGGTGTGACGCGGCAGCACGCCTTCCGCGGCGCCTCACGGAACGCCGTCACCACCCCGCACCTCCTGGCCACCCGCCAGCAGCGTCCCACGGGGACCGCTCTCGTGCACGCCCACAACCGGGGCCACGTCACAACGGGCTGTTCCAAGGTTTTTTAAAAAATTTTTTAAATGTTTATTTATTTTTGAGACAGAGAGAGACAGCGTGAGCAGGGGAGGGTCAGAGAGAGGGAGACATAGAATCGGAAACAGGCTCCAGGCTCTGAGCTGCCAGCACAGAGCCCGACGTGGGGCTCGAACCCACGAACCGTGAGATCGTGACCTGAGCCGAAGCCGGGCACTTAACGGACTGGGCCCCCGGCGCCCGGCGCTAATCCAAGTTAAGATCAGTGGAGAAGGGGCCAAGGCAGCAGCGCGGACAGCCCCCCCTCGGCGACGGGCCACAGTAGGCTGGGTTTCCACTCAGCCGTCCTCCCCACGCTGACGGCGCGCTCGGCCCGTAACACGGTCAGCAGGGCCGGGGTCACGCTGACTAAACGTCATCTGTCCCCGAAGCTGCCTCTGGCGTGTCCCGCTGGGACGCCCCTCGCTGGGGTCTGTGATGTAAATGCCCCGCCACTGCTCATCTCGCGGGGCCGGCGCGATGGCCCCAGGATATGGCCCTGGACGAGGGCCCCGGAAGTCTGAGTTACAGGCTCAAAGCAGGTTAGAGTTCACCCTCCTGACCCTGCTGCGGCCCACCGGGGCGGGACCCGCCAGAGCCGGGAAGAATTCTTTAAGCCACTGTCCAGACGGGGCATGCAGGCCTCTGGGTTTAGAGTGCCCGTCACAGCATGTGCTTACGACGCTCGGTCCACACCTGTCCTGTGGATGGTGGTGGCCCCTCTGTGGGGGGCGAGACAGGAGGCTCAGAGAAGTGAGCTTCCCCCCAGGGGACGTGGAGGAGAGGGCTCAGAAGGGGCGCACCCCGCAGGCAGGCCCAGCACCCAGCTCCAAGAGAAATCGCGAAGCCCTGACTGGTCGTGTCTGCCAGTTTCTGTGGCCGACTTCACGCTTCCCACGCCACGTCCCAGAGCGTGGGCTCTGACAAGCAGGGCAGACGGGCTCCAGCAGGTCACTGCTCATCAGCATCCTGGATGGCAGGAACTTTAGTTATATTTTTATTTAATCTCTACAGCCCACGTGGGGCTCAAGCTCGTGACCCCAAGATTGGGTTGCAGGCTGCACCGACTGAGCCAGCGGCGCCCCCGGTGAAGTTTAAACAAGGGGCGTAGGCATCAGCAACAAGGGGGTGCCACACCAGCCGCAGGGCCTGCTAGTCTGAGCCCCCAGTTCCAAGCACGCCCTGCGGCCTCTGCACACACAGGCAGAGAGCAGGGGCGCTCCTCCCGAAGGACAGGAACCTGCAGCAGGGGGAGCCGGGGTGGGCGGAGGGGACAGCGTGGCCACTTTCACCTCCGCACAGAGGCGGTAGCACGAGCTGGCCACACGTGCAATGGGAGGGAGGCAGAGCCGGTCCAGGGACCCGCCTGCGGCCCCCCGGCCGGAGCGCTGGCAGAGTGGGGGTTCAAGTGCTCCATGCTGAGCACACCTTAGTCTGCATGGAATTGTGGGGCACTGGCTTGCCTTCGGGTCTGAAACACTCACACAGCGGCGCGGCATCTGGGGGAATGCGGGAGAACCTCCCACGTCCCAGGCTCTGTCTGGGAGCTGGGGTTCGGCAGCGACACGACATGGGGTGGCCATGGGGACTTGGTGGGACTCTGACTTTCACGCCTAAGCGAGATGGTGGCCCTGGGAGGGCTGTGGACTTTAAGCGGGTCACTCTCGAGTGGAGAGCACTGCACATCAGGGCGCGGCGCTGCTGCTGCTCAGGGATGACGGTGGCTTGTGGCATCTGACAGCAGAGGTGCAGAGAGGCTGGGTTCTGGGCAGAAGGGGAGGGGAGACGTTGGCTTACGTGTGATGTGTGAGAGAAAAGGAGAAACAAAGGAAGATTAGAGATCTTTGGCCCGAAGAACTGGGAGGCTGGAGTCCATATTTACGGCTGTCGAACAAAGTGGAGGAAGGGGAGCTTGGGGAGGGAGGCTGACGGGCTCAGGGCGTGCTGCTGTGCCTGGGGGCGGGTAGCCAGCCGCGGCACTGTGTGCCCGGGTCCTCTTCGTTTTCAAAATACACGGGTACTGTCCCCTGCCCACCGCACGCCGCAGCGCCCGCGGACACCGACACGCCGCCAGTGTGCGGGGGAGACTGTCTTCATGAAGTCCAGACCCCAGCGTCACGCTGACCCCAGCGTCCGGCCCGCCGCGGCAGCTCCTCCAGGGTCCCGTCAGCGCGGAACTGGAAATTTTACTCCTCACCAACAGAACACTGTAGACGAGGCCTTCGATACTGGTAACTCTTAGAGTCTTACCCTCATGTGTCTCCCAAATGGAGTGCAAAACCACTCACTTGTACTGTTTCATACACATTTCAGAGGCTCCTGAGCCCCAGGCCGGGCAAAGATGTTACACGCACTGCGCCTCCTGCTTCGCACTGTGTTCTTTACAACGGGGCAGAAAGGGGCAGAGCGGGCGTGATCCTTCTTAGAGAATATCTCCCCGGAAGGTACGATTTTTGGTCTCTTGACCTAGAACGTTTCCCACCTCCTACTCACAGTTTTTTTTTCCTGCCAAATGAAATGGACTGTGAAGAAACCCAGCTAACTTTCCTGTGGAATGTCCCTCACTTGGATGCACCCAGTGGCTCCCTTTCGGCATCACCTGGCATGTTCCTTTAGCCTGTGATTCCTGTAAACTCAGAGTCAGGCCCGAACGCTTGGTTAGAGCAGAATGAGCATTTCTGCCAAAGACGCTCTACAGACGGGTCACATGGGGGACACACCACCGTCAGGGACGGCCAGTCTGCTCACGTGGATGACGCTGGGAGCGCAGTCGCCCTCTGCAATGAGCAAATTCTATGTAGGGTGACACACGGCAGACGCCTGGCTCTTCGCTGATTTCAGCGTCCAATGATGAACACGGCCTGAATCCATGGCTGGAATCCTGCTTTAGAAGATTCCCATTCGACACTTTCCCAGCAGGCTGCTCGTGGTCTTTAAGACCCAAACTTCACAGGATGTATTTCCCATTATAATGTTTTTTTGTGTCTGATATTTATATAGAAGATTTACATTTAATGTCTCCCAAACTCAGTGACATCTTAAAAACAGAGACGTGGAAGAATTCTCAAGGCACGTTTTGTAAATAACCGGACGCTGTCACAGCCGCTTACTTTTGCCCATCTGTAGGTCGTTTCAAGAAAGGGGACGTATGGGGCGCCTGGGTGGCTTAGTCGGTTAAGCGTCTGGCTTTCGCTTAGGTCATGATCTCGCGGTTCATGGGTTCGAGCCCCACGTCGGGCTCTGTGCTGACTGCCAGCTCAGAGCCTGGAGCCTGTTTCAGATTCTGTATCTCCCTCTCTCTCTGGCCCTCCCCTGCTCACGCTCTCTCACTCTCTCTCTCTCTCTCTCCTAGAAATAAATAAAAATATTTTTTATAAAAAGAGTTAAGTAATAAATGTAAAAGGCTCAGAATAGTACCTGGCATGTGGTAAGCACACAAATGTTCTCTCTTATTATTATTCCAATTAACGGTTGGGTTAACAGAGTGCTTACCACTCCCAAGACAGATGGGATATACCTCAGAGATATACTCCTGAAATGATGTGTATAAATTACTGTTACACAATTATTTTTTATCTGATGATAATGTTAAGCCAACAAGATGAGTTAGTTGCTTCAAGGCATTTAGTGGTGAGTTTTTCCCCCGAAAATCAGTCTTTCATTGCAAGAAGCCTTCTGAGGAGTATCAGATGTTTTGGTCTCCTATTTTATATTTGTAGAGTGCTTTTGACTATTCAAAGCACTTCTGTGCCCTATATCTCATTTCAATTTCACAGCAATCCTGTAATGGTAATGTCGGCTGAGCAGCCATTGTTACCTACAGCTGCTGGACAAGGCAAGTCTGTTATGAGTAAGGCGCCATCTGTAACTTATCAGGACCACACAGCAAGCCAGTAGCAGAGAATGGATGAGAACAGCAAGATTCCCCAGCCCGAGCTTCTACCTCGGCTGGAGCTGGCCACTCCTCACTCGAAATAGCATTTCCTATGTGTTGCCAGCAGATGAAAAGACAATAAAGCTCAGGAATTTTATCATTACTGTATATAAGCCTAGAGGGACTTTTGCTTTCAAATNTGTGTCTCCCTCTCTCTCTGACCCTCCCCTGCTCATGCTGTCTCTCTCTCTCTCTCCTAGAAATAAATAAAACATTTAAAAAAAAAAAAAAAAAAAGAAAGGGGATGTGTGCCTTGTGCGGCGCTGGCGTCAGAAGGGGTGTCTGTCACTTCATATTCAGGTCGGGGTTCAAGAGGGAGAGCAAGAAGGAGCCCCAGGGCCGAGGGCAGCCTCTTCGCAGCCCGAGCACGGGGGTGAGCTCCTGTGGCCTCTGCTGTGTTCCGCTGGAAGGGAGTCAGCAAGGCCCACGCACACTCGTGGGCAGGGGTCACACGTGGGCACACGTTACCGACCGACCGCCTCCCGTGGTGGAGACTCTGGGCCGCACTTCCCTGCCTCCCTCTGCACGCTGGCTGCTGTGGGGGCCCCGTCCTCCTCTAGAAAGCGGTGTTCGGGCGGGGCCTCCTGGTCCCGAGCCGGCCCGGTCGCAGACTCCGGGAAGGCGCTTCATCTCCCCCGACGTGGGGCTGTGCCGGGCCGCGATGCGCCTTCTGGGGCGTGGGGCCCCTGCGCCCGGCCTGGCGTCCTCAGCTGCCTCCGCCAGGCCCGCTGCCCCCCTGCGGCTCCTTCGGCTGAGGGACCCTCAGGCTGATTTCTCAGGCAGTCTCTGTGCGGCCATCGCCCGCTGCGAGCCTGCCCTGTCAGCCC